ATTATATGATTTAAAATTTTAATAAATGTTATTATCCAAATCTTTTTTCGATATTATTCCATTTATCGGGACGGCGGGACGTCCCGATCTTGTCCCGGTCCCGTCCCGACTCTTAACGGGACGGGACGACTTTCGGGACAGGACGGGACACGGGACCAAAATTCAGTCCCGATCTTTTTCTCGGGACGGGACACGGGACGGGAGTGTCCCGATCCCGTCCCGTCCCGTGAACACCCCTAACTATGCCTTCTTTATTTCATTACTCTCTTATCTCTCATCAACAATTCTTCTACTTCAACAGCTAGAGATCTTGTATTTCAATTTGTATTTCTTAGTTCTTTACTACGATCTAGTTGTATGAAACAGGGGAATGATTTGTATTTGGGAAAATTGGCTGCAAAGACCAAAGGACATAAACATTTGGACATAAGTCCCAGATGTTAAAAATAAAGCCTGCAAGGGACCATGGTCTCTAAGGGACAATATGTTTTTTAATAAAAATATTAAAATACTCTTCCATTTTTTCACTTGTCTCTAGAGTGTAGATTATTAAATATTCACGGATAACTTCTACAAACTAATACATAAGAAGGAAATGTATTTTATTATTTTCTCTGCAAACATATTGTCTCTTCAAGATTATGGTCCCTGTAAGTTTTATTTCAAAATTTGAGATTGTTATATTCTTACTTTAAAAACAAATAAAAAAAAGAGTATAACCTTTTTTATTTTCCAAATTATATTTTTATTTTTGGACTTTATGGTTAGAAGAGGCATATGGTGAAATCAAGATGGACCCACTTCTTCAGCAATCATCATGAATAGAGCCGAGAATAACAATCAGGCTTGAAGGCCCTGTTTAAATAAGAGTTTAGACTTTAGAAATTATTTTTTTAAAAATAGTTGGGCTTGAGGGCTTAGCCCTTATAAGTCCTGTGAAAAAGTGTTTGGGCTCAGGCGACCTTTCAAGCCCTGTAAGTTGGGTTATTTTACACACACACACACACACACAATATATATGTATATATATATATATATATTTGACTAATAATAACACAATTTAGTTAATATTTATTGTAAGTGATGAAGAAAAAAAAGTTGCAACGATAATTAATATTAAATCTCCGACTCTACTTTCAATAAGTGAACCTATATCTGAGAGATATAATATTTTATTTTTAGTTGATGAGGAGGATTTAGATTTACATTGATGAAAATTTTAATTTTCATCTTAAATTTAAAATTTTAAATCTTTATCAAATTTTATGTGAGATTTTAATTTATAAATAAAAGCCGGGCTTTAAAATTAAATCAAATTTTAGGTAATTGAAAGTTTAAAGCCTAAACTCTTAATGGTCGATGCTGTCTTGATTCCCACCTCTAATCGCAAGCTTGAAATTGACTGTGACCACACTTCCAATCGCTATGATTTTTGCAGCATTACTGGTTGGACCCCACTGTAGCCACATTCTTTGTTTTGGGCACTGAGAGATACAACAGGCCCAATATTATTGAGAAGATCAAGCCTAGCGAGAAATTTTAACAAGTTTTTGATGCCCCAAGTCAAGAACATCACTGTCGTCTGAGGCCCAAGAAGCCCATCATGTAAGACCCAACACAATTTGCCAGCCCTGGTATTATCCCTTGCAGGGTACATCAAAAACTTTTTGACATGCTTTTAATGATGGATTTATCCCTTTGTTCACAACCGTTAATACAGTTTCTCCCAGTGGTCAAGATTTCGTGATAGCGATAACAGAGGGTCTTGATTGGGGGGCCTTGGGGCATGCAGATATATTAACTGTGTTGAGAAAGCACCCAATTATTACTCTTAAAAGTGAAAAACATAACTCATTGTTTCCCTCGCCGTTGCAGGCCTCATTTCACATGGTTTTATGGAAATAAACCATACATTGTTACCAAACTTAAAAACGTACATGTTAGGTTGTGTGGATATTAATACGTGAATCCGATATGTCAATACTTTAATTTTTAAAAATATAAGATACGATGCATTTCTAATACATGTATATATATATTTACAAAAAATGTTAAAAATATAATTTTAATTTAAAAGATATTTAAATTAGCATACATATATAGTTGTTTATAATAATACGAAGTAAAATATAATCATTAATTATAATTTTATTTTATCTATATATAATTGCCTACTACTTAATCCTTATTAATAGGTATAATATCAATATCTCTTCCTTCTCGACCATCATAAAATTACATTTTCACATTTTTATATTTAAAAAAAATGTAATATTTATTTTTTATTACATCCAAAACTTATTTTTTTTAAGGAGAATCTAATATTTGACTTTAAAAGAAAATAAAAAAATGATATTAGTAATAAAAAGTATAATATTGCAAGTTTTAATAAATTTAATTTTTTAAAAAAATTTTTGTTTTTTAAGTATTGATTAACAATTTAAAAGTATTGGATATGCATTGAAAATTAAAATTTGTTAAAATTTAAAAATATTATTTTGATACTTTATGGATACATATCAAAGAGTAACGGTATTGGATACAATATCAATATGGATATGTGAGGCAATTTGAAGTATCGATACTTCATAGCCTACATGCATTTTCATGACACCTTCAATAAAGCCTGTGACAACTGCTATAACCAAACCTTATCACCTAAGAATCCAACTTCTCAACTGTGGCTCCTCCCCATGACCCGAAGAGGGGCCACCACTCAAGCGATGTTGAACAAAAAAGAGGCTAGGAGAATCATGAAAGAAGCAAGTTTTGGTGTGGTTGTTTTTTAACCTAGCAAAAATACACCATTATGTGAATCCTGCACACTTGTTAGTTCAAGCCATGGCTTTATTGAAGATTTTTAAATCTGTAAATTAAATTATAGGTCATTTATATCCTAAACCATTAAGATTTTTCAATATGTCACCCTACCAATTCTTAATTTTTTTGCTAATGGGCCTGCATTTGATTTTTTTAACTATTTTCTAATTATAAAATATTGCATAGTGGGTCCAACTAATATTTTTATATTTTTTATAATATAAAAATTCTTCTCTCTCCTCCTCCTTTCTCTCCCTCCCTCCCCTCTCTCTCCCCCTCATCCAACGTTATGGCCTATGCTAGAAGCTCGGAGCATCTCTCCTTTAGCATCTTCAATTCCTTCTACGTCCTCCTTCTCCCTCCATGATGACAAGGTTGCCTAACTATTGTGCTGTGTGTGACTCAGCCGAGTCTTTGGGAAAGAAGACCATCATGTTGGTGAAGAGGAGAAGGCTTGAGTGTAGTGAGAATGGGGTGTGGAGAACGCACGAGGATGACCTCACAAAATTAGACCATGATCATTGCTAGGGAGATATAAATGAGCTCTAAGAATGGTGATGCTTTGCCTTGTTTCCTGCCAAAGATGGCTGAGACCATTAGTGCCTTCTCCTCCTTCATGCATGCATGCATGTACTACTTATGGATATCCTCTCTATTCCTCCCTTCTCTCTCTCTCCCCCTATCGATCACACATTTAAGTTTTTTAATATTTTTTATTATAAAATATTTAATAGTGGGTCCCAAATTTATTTTTAATATTTTTGATAAAATAAACATTTTACTCTTTCTCCTCCCTCTCTCCTATCTCTCTCTCTCTCTCTCTCTCTCTTTCATTCCCTCTTTCTCTCCATCACATTTGTTTCTAGAAACCATATACATATATACATATACATTTTTTTTTTACTTTTAGAGCACAGTTGTTGTTGGATATGGACATGGTTACTGGAGTGTTCATTAGATGAGGCAATTCAACATTTGAGAGGGAGCTAGGAAGCTAAAACTTGGAAAAAACATGAGGCTCTCTTCCATAGTGAGCATGGAAAAGATAAGGTCATCCTGCATGACATAAGCTAATATCACTCTAAGAAGACTGGAATCCAAAGCCTTACCATTTAACTATTAGATTTAATATCTCACTTTATATAAATCAAATAAGATTGAGTAAAGTGATGTGCGTACCTGAAGAATACATGACTGAATATGAGACCTCAATTACCTTAAGTATATATAGATACACAACCCATTAGAGTCCCGTAGTTTGCAAAGAGTTCAAAGATAATGGAGATAAGGGAAAATGTATATCATGTTTTGGATATTGACTAATTGACTTATATGGACCGTTCAGTAACTACCTATGCAAATAAATAAATTAATTATCTCACATTATATTTAACCCAATTAGTTAAGAGATAAGGAATAACTGATGACTACAAGGTTGTAAGTTGGGTCTTTGCCCAATGGGCTTATTTGTGTGGTTCACCTATCATGGTCTACACAAGATCATAAAGGCCAATCTATTTAGGCTTAATTAATTAATGCAAACCCATAATATTTATAAATATTCCAACTATCTCCTATTTGGATTGCATTAATTAAGCAAGTTGTATAAATGAGTCATAAACGAAATTCAAAAAATGAAACTTCGCAAAATCACTGGATCATATAGGGAAACAAGTGATATAATGTCTCATAATTTGAATAGAATAGAATATGAAATTTTATTCCAAACACAGTTCAGTAAGATAATAAAATAAATCACTGATTCCTATGGGGAAATAAGTGACATGTATAGTGTACCACAACAAAATCATTGAATCTTATAAGGATACAAATGATATAGACACATCTAACTGAACTGAACATAACTCACAAAAAAAAATGCTTAAAGAGAAATTGCAATATAAAAGATTCTCAGACTCCTACTAAACCAGGGCATCAAAAGAATTCACAATATGTAACACCCTCAAATTTACAAACCAATTTTTCGTAAATTATTAAAAACTATTATCATGGTAGAAAATTTTTTTTGTTTTTACCATGATGCATCCAAGACATACCACAGGTCTTAAAATATCCCAAAAACAATTAGAACCATGAGGGACAGACATGATCCTCATGGCATGATATTCAAATCAGATCATAAATCAAGAGGGACAGACATAATCCTCTTGATCATATAAATACTTTTAATAAAAAGGATTAGAGTTTACATGCTTCACAAAGAAGATATGTCCTAAGTTGGCACAAGATACATTGTATAATCCAAAATAAGAGGCAACGTAAAAGATGGTGTCTCATACACCATAGTTACACCTCTGGTGCTTTCTCGGCCGGACTCGCTCCTGTAAAAATATTAATCACGGGGAATGAGACTTAAAAGTCCCAGTAACCAAAAATTAATATGTAATGATGCATGCGGATGTAACTAATCATGCGATTGCTAAGTGGGCACACAAAACATTTAACCGAACAATACTTTCAAACAAACCGAACAAGTATTTAATTTGCATGACGGCACCTTATATCCTCCTTTCGCCATGCTCGGACGCCAAATCACCAGGCCAAAGGTGAGTTGGACCAAGCGACACGCCACTCATTGGGTCCAATAAGGGCTTACCACATGGTAATAATTAACCGAACAGAAATTCCCATTAACACCATACATTAAAATACCCTAACAAGTCATGCATCATTCAAATATCCAAACAGGAATATATCCGAACAATAATATCTCATCATGATAAACAAAAATAAATTTTTGACCCACTGGGCAATAATTTCAAACAAGTATATATATACAGTATTTATTTTCATTAATTCATATTTTTTTCAAACAATAAAAACAATACATAACCATTCACAAACACACCCATCAAAACACATTAATAATGGTTACCTTGTGTCTTGAATAACAAGTTCCCCTTCACAACTCCTTTTTCACCACTATCTTTGTCAATATAATCTACATAATTATTTCACAATACTATATATTAATTTTACATTAAAATAAATAACTCTAATTTAAAGAGTTAGAAAGTTTTAGATCTATAATCCATATTAACACTAATCTAAGATTTATGCCTCATTTAACTTCCCAAATTCTTTTTCTAAAATTCTCGTACCCTAATAAACTATTTTTTTATCTTCAAATCACTTCTCGTATCACAATTTCATCCTTCTATATTCTAAAAATTCGTCCAAAAATAAATTAAAAATTTTAGAATTATCCTGAAGCCTCAAATCACCTTTCTATAACCTCAAAAATACCTATTCATACTTAAATAAATATTTAATAATCATAGGTTTATCCCTACATCTCAGATTCCATATAAATTCAACCATATAGATCTAGATTTTAACTCAAAAATTCTTAAACATGAGTTTCAAGCTCAAAAAAATATTCTATAATATTTATTATATCCCTAAGAGTTTTAACCTATATTTTTAATCCATCATATCATCAGATTAACTATCATATAGAAAAATTCTAATCAGAATATTTACTCTATCCTACAAAATAATCATATCACTAGAAAGCTAATATTATTTAGAAAATAACTATAAAATTAATTTTGTAATTAAATAAATTTTTAAATGCTAATCTAAACAAGAAAGTTAGAACATACCTGAAGAAAAAGAAAATAATCTCCCTTGCGAGAAAACGCCGAGCAACGTGAGAGGAAGAGAGAAAAATAATATAAAAATGGGATTGTGGTCCCAAAATTATACTAAAAAAAATTATAGGTTTGAATTTAATTATTGAAACCTTTGGGCCATTACTTGCAATTTTCACAAATTGCATCTTGGGCCCTTAGTTGCAATTTTTACAAATTATAATAAAAAATTCCTCATGCTTCCTCCACAATGCACCTCCTCTTTTTATACATGAGGAGGTGCTTTTCATTCCCACATCTAACCGATGTGGGACTAAACCCCCTCCCCCTTTTTTTTTACTTTCTTTTTTTTTTTTTTCTTTTTAACTCACACACACACATTAATAATAATTTTTTTTAAATCTTAAAATTACATCTTAACAAAATATTTCTTATATAATTTTAAACTTAAGTTTTTAATTCATAATTAAATGCCTAACCATATTATTATTTTCAAATAACCTCAAATAATATAAATTCCTATTATCATCATTTAAAAAAAAACTTAAATTTCATAAATTTTTTTTATCTAAAAATTAGGATGTTACACAATACCTATACAAGTTACATGATTTTGAAAAACTTTTATAGGTAAGCCCTTGTCAGCGGATCTACAAGCATATATGTGCCAGGAATGTGTATCACACGAGTTTAAGACTTAGCAATTTTCTCTTTCACAAACATAAGTTTGATATTGACATGCTTTGTACGATTGGAATTTCTATGGTTGTTAGCATAGTATACTGTAGACTTGTTATCATAATAAATGGTTAAAGGACGTGATATTAACTCAACTAGGCGTATGCTAGGTATCAACTTTCTAGCCATATAGCTTGACATGTAGTATGAAAACAAGCAATATACTTAGCTTCCATAGATGAAACTGCTGTAAGTACCTGCTTCATACTTTTCCAAGAAATAGCTCCTCAAACAACATGAAAATGTAGCTGGTCATGGACTTACGATAATCCAGATAGTAGCTAAAATCAGAATCAGAAAAGATAACAATTTCAAGATCTTTTAAAATCAAAATTAGAATACCCAAAAATCTTAAGAGAATCTGACCTTCTATAGGTCAACATATAATTCTTTATACCTTGAAGATACCTCATAACTTTCTTAGCGGCTTTTCAATGATTCAGACCTGGATCATTTAAGTATCGACCTAACACTCTAATGGCAAAGGTTATATCTAGTCGAGTATACACTTGAACATATATAAGGCTGCCAACAGCGAAAGCATATGGTATCTTTCTCATTTTAGCCCTTTTCTTATCATCTTTATGACACTGTAATTTTAACAATAGTTCACCTTTCTGAATAGAAGTAGGCAAGGGAGAACATGAATTCATTCTAAATTTCTTAAGTACCTGCTCAATATAGGTAGTTTATAATAAACCAAGAACACCACGAGATCTATTATAAGGAATCTGTATCCTAAGAACAAAAGAGGCTTTGCCCATATCCTTTATGTCAAAATGGCTAGACAATAGATGTTTTATCTCATTAAGGAAATCCATTAAATTACTGACTAGCAAGATATCATCAACATAGAGAACAAGAATGACAAAATTGTTCCCAACAAACTTTTGATAGATACATTGATCTGAGACATTCTTAACAAAATCGAGCGAGGTGATAACTTCATCAAACTTCAAATACCATTGTGAGAGAATTGTTTTAGCCCATAGATAGATCTCGTCAATCTAAAAACTAGATGTTTTGTGCTAGATTTAACAAAACCATCAAGTTGTGTCATGTAGACTTCTTCATACAAGTCGCTATTCAAGAATATAGTCTTGACATCCATCTAGTAGAGATCAAGATCAAATTGTGTAACTAAAGCCATTACCACTCTAAAAGCATCTTTAGTGGATACAGGAGAGAAGATCTCTGTGTAATCAATACCTTCTTTCTAATTGTAGCTTTTAGCTACAAGTCTAGCTTTGTATCTATCAATTTCACCTGTAGCTCCTCGTTTTATTTTAAAGACCCATTTGCAACCTATTAGTTTAAAACCCTTTGGTAGCTCTACAAGCTCCCATACGTGATTGTTGTGCATAGAGGCGATTTCTTCACTCATAGCCTTTAACCATTCAGAAGAATGTATGCTAGAGATAGCCATTTAATAAGACATTGGGTCTAAACTATTAATAGCATCTGAATCAAATTCCTGCAAATACACCATTTAATCATCGAGAATAGCAGACCTATAAACCCTTTGGGACCGTCTTGGTTTAACAACTAGATCCTCATTACCCTTTAAAAGTGGTTCATCTTCATCTTCATCTTGATCCACGGCATTATTTCTTTTAACATGAGGGGTTGTCATGGTAGACATTGGCAAAATATTACTTTTGTCACGTAAAGTAATATGCCTAGGCATAAAGCTCCCACTATCTAAGGCATCTTTAAAAAAATAAGCTCGATTAGACTTAATGACCCTAGTAGTATGATTTGAATAATAGAACCTGTACCCATAAGATCTGATGCAATATCCAATAAAGAAATCATCAACAGTTTTAACATCAAGCTTCATTTTTTATGGATTGCAAGGTTTTACCTATACTTTACAACCCCAAACTCACATATGCCTCATATGGAGTCTTTGGATTTGATTTGCTAGAAACTTGATTCAAAATATAAATAGCAGTTTTAACTGCATCACCCTACAAGATTTTGGCAGTGAGGAGTGACTGATCATGCTTTTAACTATATCTATGAAAATACAATTTTGCCTTTCCGCAATGCCATTCTATTACGGAGTGTTAGGCACAGTATACTGAGCTTCAATGCCATGCTCCTGAAGGTACAAGGCAAATGGCTCAGGGTTCTTTCCAGTCTCAATATATCTCCCATAAAATTCTCCTCCTCTATCAGATGTCACATTTAATTAACTTGCCAAATTTTAATTTGACCACTGCCTTAAAGTTCTTAAATGCATTAAGAGACTCGCCGTTTTCACACAAGGGTTCAATCCATCCATAACAAGAGTAATCATTTGTGAAGGTGATGAAATATTTAAAACCACCCATAGCCACGTGTGTAATAGGTCCACAAATGTCCATATAGTTTAGGTCTAAAATATTTTTAAACATCTTTGCCCCTTTGATTCTAGCTTTAGCAGGGATTTTTCCCTTTATGCAATCAACATAAGTCTCAAAATTTGAGAAATCAAGGTCTTGTAAGACATTTTACTTGGCCATATGTCCCGATCTCTTTCTAGAGATATAACCTAAACAACAATGTTATAACATAAAGGAATTATTGTTCGGTCTTTGATGTTTATGCCTAATAGCAGCATTAATTTGGAGATTAGGGAGTTCAAGTGACCAATCATTCAATCGATATAAACTATATATTAAGGAAGCATCACTACTACAAAATAAGCTTACAGGAGCACTTCAAAAGTGCTCTTATATCGAGCACTCTGGAATGTACAAGAGCGCTTAAAAAAGTGCTCCCGTATATATGCTATATAGGAGTGCTTTCTGAAAAGTGCTCCCATATATAAGGGTAAAAATTGGTTAGCAGAGGCATATACGGGAGCACTCCTAAATACCTGCTCCTAAAGATATATTTCGTAGTAGTGCATAACTAATATTAATGGAATCAAAACGAATATCAATTTTCCTATTTCTTTAGAAGAATGAATAACCATAAATATCCAATGCAGAAGTTGAAATTAAATTCCTCTGTGCAAAATATATATAAACAACATTATTCAAATTTAAGATATGTGCATAATTTAAATGTAAAGAAATAGTTCCAATGTATTTGACTAATGCCCTTACTCCCTGCTAGCCCTTACTCCCTGCTATGTCAAAGACCAACCTCTGTGCCTTACTTGGAACCTTCTAGTTTCTTAGTCCCTGTAGAGAATTTACAACATGCATAGTGGCGCTAGAATCCAGCCACCATGAGTTAAAGGATGTAACACTTACCTCGAGTGTTATCCAAAAATCACACAATTCAAACAAACTAAGTGTGGTTAAGGAGCTGATCCTCTAACCAACTTAGGAAACAAATCATTTAAATCACTAAACAGATACACCATCACAAAATAAAAATTTAAAATCCTTTAAAAAAAATTATAGGTCCTACCTATAGTGCACGGAAGTAAGCTAGATGAAAGTGGGATAAAAAGATTCTGTCATGACAACATTAAATTGCTGTCATGACAGCCCTCCTAGGCCAACTTCCGGGAGGCACCGTTCTGCCATTCGACCACCGATCGAAGTGATTTTAAATTTCACACATCATTTTTATTGATTACTAGTAGTATACCAAATTTCAAAAAGATCTAATGGTCGGATTAAAAATTTGACATGCTACAAGTTTAGTCATTTTAGCTGTCATGACAGCACCTCCGGACTAACTTCCGGAGTGCACTATTTCATCATCCGACCTCCGATTGGAGCGATTCCAAAGCCCACATGTCACTTTTAAATATTATTATTAGAATACCAAATTTTGAAAAGATCTAATGGACAGATTAAATTTCATGCATGTTGTAACATCATCATTGTTGCTGTCATGACAGCACTTTTGTTGTCATGACAGCTCCTCTGGATCAAATTTTAGATTGTGCCGTTTCTCTGTCTGGTTTCCGATCAGCATGATTCCAAATCTCACACGAAGCTTATAAAAGGTTTTACTTGTGACCCAAATTTTAGAGAAATCTAACGGTCTGATTAAGATTTGGACACCCGGATGCAAACATGCAATTTTTTGATAAAAACCATTTTCAAAATTGTCCAAATCTCATCTTAATGGTCACAAACCTGTGGGAACACTTTGGACACATCAAATAGGACTAAAAACACCTGATAGAATATTTAAATGATAGAAAAACTCTTTATACCAAAATTTGACCACCAGGTGCCATTTTCTAAAATGGACCCTATGTCCCTAAAATTTACAAATCACACAAAAGTGACCAAAAACCATTCCAAATATCATATACACATATGAATACACATGCTAAATATTTTCACTTGGCTCAGATATCTCTGTGGGGCCCACACACCTACTCTCTCTATTTAAGATATATGTTTGCCC